AATTTATATTATATATTCTATGATATATTTATACATAACGTGTTGCGATTAAAAAAAAGTATAGTCTACTGAAGTTACTATTATTACAGTATGTATATCAAGTACATTATTAGAAATAGCAACTTCACGTATTGAAATTTGAAATATCGCAATAGATTAAGTGTTTTATTCCTTGCTCATATCTGTGATTCTCTTTTTATGACGGTTTATGGCCTCTTGATGGCGTTTAATTTGTTCTTCGTGGAAAGAGATCTCGTCGTGCAGATCGTCTTTCAATTTCTGGATTTGTCGCTTTTGCTGAAAGAGGAATTTCTCAGTAAATCTCTTGGAATCTGTACAAGTGATATTAGAGGCAAGAGAGGTTACTGACCAGATTATAAAAATATTGATCTTCATGAGCAGCTTCCATTTTTCCAAAAGATCCACCAGCGTCGCGAATAGATCCGCCACCACCACCTCCTTTACCTGCTCCTGACCCACGTTCACCAGTCATTCTCACTTGGCTACAATCAACGGAATGACCAATTCTTAATTAGAACCTCTGAATAGGTTCATGTGCTAAAGAAGGAATAGGTCAGTGATGACAGTTAAAAATATCTATTGATACCAATACAGTTTGATCAATGAGTATAATAATACGATTCGACATAGAACACTTCAATCTAACATCGTAGTTCCTACAATTAGAGACAAAACTGTAAAACTGACCTAAACACAAAACATACATACTTCTCCACAGTAATAAGGTTTGTAGTTATTACATAAGTTTGGAACAGTAGCTATACGTGAAATTCAATAATGTTTAATAGACTTATTACAACTTAATCAGTAAATAGATTTTGATCGTATATGACTTTTATTTACTTAGGCAAGTATAAAAATACATTGGAATTCGACGTATATCTCGATTTCAAGCAGAGCCTGTGCAGAAGCCGGGGTCGAATTAAGCTATCCAAAATATTAAGGCTAAACGTGTATTATGTATTGATTATTATTGAGAATATTGTTTTATACCTCAACATGGCCATATTCCGTGAAAATGTAGCGAGAACTCGTTGCATTCTGGGCGTGAAAATGTTTAAAGTGCAGCAAGTGCTAAGCATTCCAATAGAGATCATGTACTACAACGTACCAATGTACTACGACTACGTTCACGAGGAGATGGTTACGTCGTCGTGCCAGTGTAGTACGAGTTTCACGAGGAAACCGTCCTGGCGCTCTTTCAGCGCCAATATTAATTTCAGTTCTTCAAGTATCTCACAGATTTCCATTTTATAGTACAATACAAATGAAAAAAGGAAAATCGATGTCGAGAATAGATTATTTAGAAATGAAGTGCTTTCTGAGAGCAATACATAAATAGTAAAACATATAATCAATACTCTTTATGATAATAAGACTTAATTGTCTTAATTCACTAAATGAAAAGATTGTTTCAGAATACAGTTCTGGCCTGATAAGATAAAGTAATATATTACCTGCAGTATTCAGCAGCTTGGCTCTCGATCAATTGTCTTTTGAGTTCCGAGGTTTTGAGCTCATTGACTGCGGTTTGTTTTTGTAATTCTGCCCTTTCTAATTCGATGTTCAACACCCTCATTTTCAAATCGTGCTCTCGTTGAGCCACGTCGAACATCCATATCGATCTCTGAGTAGAATCCTCTTGTTCGCTACTAATTTTCTCCCTCGTATTGGATAGCAGTGAACTGTCGACAGCTTGAAAACGGATGAATTTTGTCATAAATTCGTCTTACCCAAGCCCAAAATATTAGATTGCATAGGAAACGTCGTTTTTTTCAATCAGCAAATTATTTGATAAAAACGATATTTGATACGCTTCGAGTCGATGATTTGCAAATGTATGAATACCAGGGTGATTGACGATGTCGACCGTGGAGTTGGTCCTGGGTTCCGCCAGATTCATCGGCTCATCGTGAAAATTGTAACGCCGTTTCTTTTGCATGTTCGACTTCCTCTTGGAAAGTTCGCACTGACTCGCCTCCTCTTCGGAGTTGTACTCATCGCTGTCCACCTCGAGTTTAATTTCGTTCACCGTGGTCACTTCCTCTGCGGGGGACGTCAGCTTGTCTAGGATTGTCTGCAAACTCGTCGAACTCTCCGTGCTTTCTTGCCCGTTATCGTCCAGATGGTCCGCGTCTCCGTCGTTCTTTCTCGCGTTTTCCATCAATTTCCATACCTCCACTGAGAGGGGCGACGGTCGACACTTGGCCGCTTTCTCGGGACCGATAGTCTTCACCTGATTCGTATCGACGAAAACGTTTACAAATTTGTCATAGGTCGCAATAAAAATTCTATCGAATTCATATTTCAATTCCCGTTGAAAGATATCTGCCTTTAGTTTGTGTTTCAAACCGAGATACCCTCTTCTTAAGAGAGAACAGAGACCTCGCGAAATAGAAAGATTAAACTTCCCCGCGAACTTTTGTAGCGCGTTGCCTTAAAATTATTAGCGATAAAAAAAAGTGCCGAGGTCGTCGCGTCGTCTAGCCGTCGATGAATTAAAGCGACAAATTAAGATAAACCGATGTCATCGATCGTCATCGTTCACGCGAGTCGAATTAACAAAAACGAGCAACGATCGATTAACCTTCTCCGCGAAGGTGTACATCTCCATTCTCGCCTGTGCCTTCATCCTCCTCCACTGCTCCTTCATCCTGGCGATGTCCCTGTCGGTAGAGAATTTTCCACGAAAGGCGCAATGGATCTGTTGCCAGGCCAACGTTTTCATCGCGGATGCCGCGGCGTCGATCTTCTTGTTCTCGATCGCGTTCACGTGCGCCTTGATCAAAACGAACAACGCGTTCTTCTCCTCAGGGACCCAGTTCTGCGTCCTCTCGCGTTTCTTCAACAGGACGGTGGTCGAGCTCGAGGACATCTTCTCCGTTCAATTTAAATCTCGTACCGGTATCGATCGTCCAACGATTGATCAGTCTATTTAATTCCGACTTAATTCTCGGGCAACCACGGGCACGCACGGCTGTCATCTGCTCGCATCGCAATCAGGTGATGTTTCGCTCGCTTATTCGTTTAGCGCCGGTTTAACGCAGTCAGTTGTTCAACCGGTGGCAATACGAAAATGTATAGAGTGATCGCGAAGCTCGCGACGCTTCTACGTTCTTTTATTCAAAGAATTTCTCGTTCGTCAGAATCATTTTTGCCCGATCCAAATTTTTTGACCAACGACAAGGAGGAGAGTTTTCGCGTCGCGTTTAAACCGGGACTAAGGGACGACTAAACGACGGCCATTTTGGCAGGGTACTAGGCGCTCGATATTAACAAATCCTCGATTCCCAGCCGGGGCGAAAGCAGCGGGTGCGACCGAGAAGAGCTCTGCCTCTGACGAAGGGCGACGGACACGGGAGTAACGAAGAGAGAAATCGTTCGGAGTTCCGCGCAACGCAAACATTGTTTCGTTTCATTTTGTGGAATCATATTGCGCCGATTCCAATATCGCCGTCCTTTTACCGCGACCGCTGCCGTCCCTTTATCGTTTTAACCCTTTCGTCTACCTGGTCGATAGCTAATTAGGTTTACTGAACGGTCAATAGACAGCGAAATGAGTACACGGTTTTTAATAATCAATTAACTATGTATCTGTTTGCACATTTCATTCGATGCAAAGTTGCACGAAAGATAATACGCGGAATTAGCATACAATCTACTGCAAGAATATATAACTCGAAACAATGTAGTTTCGAACAATTTAGTCGGGTATGCGATAAGCATGGCATATAATTCAGGCTGGAAATATATATGCAATTACCGACGGAAAATGGCGGATTGATTCTTCCATGTCTAGTCGGTATCCGTGAATCTTCTTGGCTTTATCCCTGATCAATGCGTCTCGTCGATCTTTGTTTATCTCGGTTAAGTTCATCCTGTGCACGGACGTGTTCGCGTGCTGCGTTAATTGCGATTTCCTCTCGCAGCAGATCTGCTTTTGGCACGCCTCGCAGTAAATGTTCAGGCCGTCGCTGGTAAAACTGAAATCGTTCACTGCACTGATCCAACTGTTCAAGATTATCTGTCTGGATCTCTTCGCCTTCGGCATTATCGATCCCTCGATGGAACAATGCCGACTTCTTTATTTCGCGTTGCGAAACGAGTGCAGGTCAAGCGATGACTGCGGCAAACGGATACTGTCCTAATGCATATATTGTTATTGTTTGCAATGGCGGGGTCGTGCGAGTTCAAACTTGGACGAGTCAACAAAATTATAAGCAACTTTTCCGCGTATATGTACGGAATATGCAGAATATGCAAAACACATGCGGTATGCAAACTGCATTTTTAGATCGAGTCATTTCTCTGGATTTCTGTATAGGATATTTTTTGGTAAATATCTGTTTATAACATATGAACAATTATGTGATCGATATTCCTCTGGCCGCCTGATGTATTAAAGTGTCGTTTCAATTGTGACGTTGTATGCAAATCGCGGTTACGTTTTACCAGTTGTATAAATATAAGTAAACGCGGTCTTATTAACTACGATCGTACGATAAAATCATTTTTCGACTCCGAGGTTAGTTAATTGCATCTATAATGATCGATTCTTGGCGTTACACAATTATCAGCAAGTTATACACTCGTACGAAGCTCATATCTGCGCATAAACTGAAACAGTTTTTCTTATCTCTAATGCTGTTATGTTTAAAGGAATTTCAAACGGTTTCATAGTAACGGTACTTTTATAAAAAATCGTCGGGACGTCGTACCCCGTGTAAAGGGAGTCTAACGCGATATACATCCGGCAATCCGCAACGGAATGCGTTTAAAGCGGCTCGCCGACGCGTAATCCTTCTTCCACTATTTCCAATAGTACTGCAGCAGTCGGTCTCGTTGTGTAACGGCGGCCTCCCGTTGCATATAAGACACACACGATCGGCTCTTCCTCCGCAAAACCGCTCGCGATGGTGTCGTATTGTCACGATCAACCGGTTATCATAACGTGGCCAGGTCTCTTATTCTCAGTGAGCCGAAACCCCATAACCGGAGCCCTGGCTACTTCGTTCAGTGCCTTCGAGTGAATCTGACAGTGTAGAAAAATCCGAAAGGAATCACTGTTCCCACGTATCCTTCGTCTTCACAAAGGACTCTCTGTGCGCGATATTATATAACGGAGCTTACATGTCGTTTACAGAATCCCTGAAGTGTCTCTCTCTATGGGAGTCCTCAAGGTTTATTAGTTAGAATCGCGTTTTTTAAAATCGTAATTGAAACGTTAAAGGGAACGTAAAGGATGCAGAGTTTTAGTCTTGTTCATCGTTGAGAATTTATACAATTTTTCATGGTGATCGATGGCGATCATGGTTCTATAAATCGAATTAGGATCATCGATGAATTAATGGGTTTCTGTGGATTTGGTTACCAGAGAGACTCGCCAGGATGATATTTCACGATACGGTTAGAGTAAGTACGAGGGTTCATTTGAAAAACGTTGGTTTTTCTTGTTCTTGATACGTGAATGTAGAATGTAGATCTGGTGATACGCTCTCAGTCCTCAGTGGATACTTATTTCTTAATAGAAGTCCTCGATATTTGCGGTTTGACACACGTATGAAGGTTTCAACTAATATCGAGGTATAAAATTTCTTGCGAGACGATGTATCTCGGTAGTTTTCGTTAATCCATTCAAACGGATCATTCTGTTTCTTGATCGTCCAGATACATTCTTATTTGATCAGAGCGATACTAGTTATTCATGTATTAATACGATATGTTCTTTGAGCGGGTAAAACAAGTGCATTCTATATTATAACGAAAATTCTTGTTGTTGAAGTCGTTCGAGTCAAAAGTGGAATTTAAAATATCTATCACGCAATGGCTTATATAAGCATTGCGCCGTGTACTCCACGGTGTGCAGTTATATTTTACATAATCGGCGACAGAGGAACGGGGCAGTGGTTAGTGCAAGGGCTCCGCGACGACTCTTGAATAATTTCGAGCTCGTGATTCCACCGCAAATAAACGTGACATTTCTTGACTCCGTGTAATCCGCACGGATTGGTAATATTTGCAAAACGCATATACAATTTTCGAAACACGACAATCCCATCGGAAGCAGGTCGTTACATCGGTCTCGTTTCTACTTTTTTTTAATGATTATCTGGGAGTTTCGACGAGTCGTAGGTTTTATTTGAAATCGATTGCGGGAACGCGTGAAAATTAAAAACTGAAACAAACTCCTGTGTTTGGGTTTAGTAGAAGAAAAGCTCTGCACGATCCAGTGCCGTATCGATTCCAGTTTTTACTACAATAGTTTCAACAGTTAGTTGTTCCCTGTAATAAAAAGAAAAAACATCATCCTATTCCCAGGGTACAGTTCGTTGAAATATACGTGTTGCAACTTTTAATGAAGAACGCACGGGCTTTGTTCTTTCATAGAAAGCACTGCAAGAGAATTTCGAAATATTTTAGTAGTTAAAACAGGGACTATATAGAACAGTTAGCGTTTCGAGATGGGAAGGAAAGACATTTTTCCAGATGAAACAGAGCGTGGAATATCCCATGCTACCGCTGAACATATCCAAGGATTTGTGTCTGACTTGGAGGAACATTTCGTACACTGTGCAAAAAAAGACGAACGGTGGTAGCCTTCGTGCAATTTTCGGTCTCCAGAATACCGAGTTCGTTCGACTCTTGAACGGAGGTACTTTGACTCAGTACAAAATTAGATCATCAATAGTTCAAGTTTTATCGAAAGGAATTCGTCGAACAATTAATCTTGTGTAATGTAATTTTAGTCAGTGGTATAGTCCATTCAGGGACGTTGATGGCAATTATGGGACCAAGGTAAAGCGAGACGATTTTTATTTTACCCTGGAATACTAATTAAACGCGTGTCCTATCTCTTTAATCATCAGACAATAAGAAACTTGCTGTAAACTTGCTATAAACGAGATAAGTAAAGTTGATCTAACTTCGAAACGGTCGTAACTGCAATGATAAAAGTAAAATGGTCGGATATATTTTTCGTTTTACTCGCGCCGTTCAAAGTTACGGGATTAAGATTTTAACATTCATCTCCGGCCTTTTTATACCGGGAACCATTTGCTGATGCGTTTAATATCACGGCCTGAACAGTCGGGCTATGATAAAATCCCCGAGCTCGTGTAAATTAGGAGTGCTTAGTATTCCGGGGTTAATTGTTCCTGGAACTGGCGACGGGAAGGGAAGTTTTTCCTTTTTCCCGCTAAAAACGAACTTCTCGCTTTTGCAGCGGCGCCGGGAAAACTACGTTGCTCGCGACGATCAGCCGCCGTGTGAAAGGTTCACAAGTCTTTCTGTTTTATTTCTCGCGTATCAAAGCACTGGTTTCAAAGTTAGGGAAGGGAATTATCGTTAGGTCGCGATTTTCATACGAAAATTCAATATACTAGTACATCTGCTGTTAAAGTCAATTGCATATTGCGATGCTTGACCCATTTGCATTAAATACTACTGATAAATTGAAGAATTAATACAATATTTGATGGCATGATTCATACAATGGTTGATACAATATTTGATAGAATAATTGCGAATAGAGAAACTGCAATTATTACATCGTAATTTTTTTCGTGGGATATATTGGTTTGTTCTCGTTTGGGTATCGTGGCAAGTTTTTTCGAAGCGATTTCACAAACAGATAGAGTTTTGAGTCAGTGCGTTTCCGATCGATAGGCGAAGCGACAGGTGACGTGCTATTAAATGGGAAACCTATCGATACTGGCCAGATGATAAGGATATCTGGATTTGTTCCACAAATGGACCTGGCAGTCGAATCGTTGACAGTTCAGGAGCATATGGAATTCATGGTTGGTTTAATTACAAGGTCCTGATTAATCCTGTTAAACCTAGCTCCATTCTCATCAATCCATTAGTATGATCATTTCATAATAATTACAATAATTACAATAAAATCTTTTAGAAGATTCAATACAAAAGGATTCGATACAAAATAATAAAGGAATAAAATACAGATTGCTTGGTGCATAAATCTCGCTCGTTCATCTAACTACACTTCTTTTACTTTTATAATATGATCATTTTATATTCGATGATACTCATTCATTACGAGGTCGTAAAATGTTTTAGAAGATTCCATGAATTTAAACAAAATACAGATATCCTTACGTATAAATCGAAATCATAACTAACACATATTTCACTGGTACGTGCTATAACTCACGGGTGTTCCCAATCACGATGGCAATCGTGGATAACTGGAAGCCGGTAGGCGTTTATGGGACATTTCATGATACAGCGGCTCGTATAAACGCGTTTACGATGTCCAGCTCGTGATTTAAACCGACTTTCATTTGTAATCGATTTAGTAAGCTTGTGTTTCGAGATGAATAAATGATTGAATCGCGCGGATAATCTGAATGGTTATGTAATGAATTAAAATTGCGCCATTATATGATAAATGGATTGTAAACGTTCCATTCAAACGAGATTCTGATTTATTCCGATGTTAATAAGTATCGTACTCTTTATTCATTCTACTTGCAATGTGTATTTTTCTTTGTTTCTCAAGAGTTCGAAGAAAATTCGATTTAATCGTTAAAAAACGCTTCTGAATTTCTTAACAAAGTTTATCTAAAAAATTGTCTCGACGAAACTTGCTTCCAAATTCGATTTCACTCCTTTCTTGCAAGTCTCCAGAAACTCGTTCCACGTTTCGTTAAACGTCCAGAAGAAAAGCTAGTTTCCAACTCTTGTCCAGTTTACCAATGCTCATCGTCCCTTGATTCGTTTAAACGTCGAATGATCGGGTTTCGTTGCTCATTAAAACTTTACGATTGTTCCCGGCCGATCAAGGCTTGCATGAAAATGGACAGGAGGATCAGGGCGAACGTCAGGCGGCAACGTATAATGGGTCTGCTGGCGGATCTCGGGCTGGGGAAATGCACGACCACCAGACTCTCTGCCCTTTCCGGTGGCGAGAGGAAACGAGTCACGTTGGCCGTGCAAGTAAGACGCGACCGATCTATCGTCTGGCAATAAATATCATGCATCATAAAAATTAATACGCTAATTCATAGAATAATTATTGCACTGTTTAATATAACGTTTGATACAGTGTTTCATTTAATGTAATAGTTGATAGAATACTTCATACAATAATTGAATTCTACTAATTACGAGACTACATTAGAAAATTACAAGATTACGTTGTTCAACGCGTGATAAAAAATTGATATGAAGTACACATAGGGTAGAGAATTTTTCTAGTTACTCACCGAACCGAGCATACTCTTTTGCGACGAGCCGACGACGGGGTTGGACAGTTACGGGGCGATGACGGTAGTGAGAACGCTTAGGGACGTCGCGGCCAGTGGAAGGATAGTCGTGTGCTCGTTACATCAACCGGCTTCCGGTCTGCTGGACATATTCCATGAGGTTCTCCTGCTCTCCGGTGGCAGAGTCGCCTTCCAAGGCTCGTCCGTAGACGCCACAGAATTTTTCGATAGGTTCGAGTCCAAACAATTAGAAATGTCTTTCAGTCAGATCTCGCGTTTCGAAAAGTAAAAGGATTCACGTGTCATCCAACGACGTGAACTTTTATAGGAAATTGTGTCGAATTATTTTTCTACGTGATTCTTTTGAAAAGAATTCGAAGAAGAACGCTAGATTTATCGAGTACAGATTTGATGGAAGCATTGTTTCTAGCTTGAACCTTCGTTGTCCGGCAACGTACAATAGCGCCGAGTTCTACGTCTCGCAGTTGTCCATCGTTCGGGGCAACGAGCTCGAAAGTTACCAAAAGGTACTGAGAAGGAGAATTGTGTATGAACGAAGTCGAGCAACGGACCTGTTTTAGGTGAATTGGATCTGCGATCAATACGGGAAATCTAAATACGGTCAGAGGGCGTCGAAGCTGATCGAATACTCTTGCTTGACGTCGTCGGAGTCGAACGAGCTTCCATTGATATTCTCCGACGTCTCTCTATCTCGAAAGGATTTCAAAAAAGCACGTTGCTTCACTCAGCTACGTTGGCTCACGTGGAGGACGTACGTCGATCATAAAAGGAACTTGGCCTCTCATGTCTTGCGATTCATAACGTATATGGTGAGAGACATTCGCATTCCCTTTGAACGCTTTAAACTCGGCTTGTCTGCCTCGCTCGCTCAAGTACTCTTCGTTTTAATAATTTCCGGATTGTCGACCCGTTGTTTTAGCTCGTTTACCTTGTCCTTTATTAAATACCAGCCGCTATTTTCAAAGCTCAGAGCTTCCTAAAAAGATGTTCCAAATTTTTACTACTGATTTCCCTCGCTTCTTCTCCCAATGAAATATAATCCCATTTGTCCACTCTTGCTGTGCTAATTAATTTATGCAAATTGTCACGATGGGCTCAATTGTCTTCAAGTGGAAATACTCGTTTTGTTTGAAGTTCATAGGGCTGCTGATTGCGTCGCCGTACGTGAACATCACGGGGCAAGCGATGAATCAAGGTGGTATACAGAACATGCAGGGTCTTTTGTACTTGGTGGTAGTCGAGACCGTTTTCACGTTTAATTACGCCGTTTTCTACACGTTCCCGCGCGAACTGCCGCTCTTACTACGTGATATAGCCAGCGGGCTTTACGGCCCCACGCCATATTATATCAGCAAAGTTATCATCTTGGTAAGCTCTGTTTTCGAGATTCTATACCCCTCGCGCAAACCCTTCCAGGCGTCGATTGGAAAATTAGACTCCTTATAAACTAGATCAGGAATTTATAAATATAATGGATTGACAAATAATTGAACAAAGAATTTGCTTTACGATCGAAACGAAGATGAAGCTAAATGAAATCGCTAGATCGTTCCCGTTCCATGATAGTTCGCTAATTTAGTCGTTACACGTTACCCCGTGCGCTCCCGAGATATTACATCCCTCGGTGAATGGGCATGAAATTCAATTTTCAATCTGAATGCACGGATATCGTGGATTTCGCGGAAATTTTCAGATACCCGGGGCGATAATACAGCCGTTGCTCTACTCGGCTTTCATATTCGCGATCACTGGACTGAAGGGTGGACTTTTAGGATTCGTTTATTTCACTCTGCCCGTTGTAGCCTGCGCCATTTCAGCCTCCGCACTCGGTGAGAAACCTTCCATTAAAACGAGAATCAATTCCTGTGATAGAAATCTTTGAAATACATCAGACTCGGTCAGTCGTTAATGTCAGAAGTAATAGAACTAGTATCTTATCGTTTTATTAATTTCAATACGATTAGCAACGAACGTAGAATTATGAGAATGTCCACGAGCGATTAATTGTACCAGTTGAGGAATTTTTCGAAGGTCTCGTCTTATCGGCGTCGTTCAAATCGGTCGACACGGCGTCGCTGTTCTCCGTCCCGTTGGATTTCCTTGGCCTGATGTTCTGCGGGATTTACTTGCATCTCGGGTAAGAAACGCGCAATTACATGCATAACACAATCGTGCCGGATTATTTGATCAGCGTGGTCTCGCTTTACCTTCATACGAAACCGATGATCATTTTCAATTAATTTTCTTTTACTGTCGTATGTAATCGATAATTGTTGCGCAATATGACATTCCGCAATCTTTCTTACCGATAGGTTTTATGGTTTCAAGTAATTCGACCGTATATAGGGACAATTTTTCACATCGTTTTCCAGACATCTCGCACCGGGCATCGCGTGGCTGAAATATCTGTCGCAATTCTATTACGGCCTGGAGGCGGTCTCGTTGACGCAATGGCTTCTCATCGATCATATAAGTACGTCGCCTCGTCGAAGTCAATCAAATTAGTCGTGGTTTTAAATATCGAAATTACAATTAGTTTCGAGTAGATAATAAATTGAAATAGAGGATGAAATAATTAATAAGAGAATGGTCCATTGGGTAGAGAATAAATTGATAATCAGTTGCTAAGGATTTATGAGATCTTTTATTAGCAAGTTTTACATTTGAATTTTTCATGTCCTAAGACTGCTCTTCGGACCCGGAGGAACCGTGTATCTCCACTGGATTGGGTGTCCTGGACAAATACGGCTATAAAGCAAATCACTACACCACGGACATAATCGGTCTCCTGGCTGTATTCCTCGTTAGCCATTTGGCAGGTTTTGTAATAATCAGTTACAGAAGTCGAAAGGCACCTGTTTATTAACGCGTTTTATTTCTTAATTAATCAATGGGTCGAGTCTTATACTTGCACTCTAATCGGTAACGAACGATTTGTATATTTTATTTAATGCTCCTGCCAAACAGAAGTGTTCATAGCGTGTAAGGTCTATTACAATATTAATTAGGTACACGTGTTTGTATATTATTTTGTTATTAATGAGAGAAATAATGTGGACCTCGCATCGTTATTTAAAACATCGCTCCGACTTTCCTCCTTCGTCGTAAACCGAAGTATCCACCGAGGCCCAATGCAATCGTTAAGATCGCAAGTCCGCTCAGATCCCAAATTAAATTGGTACGTCTGAATCCATACTCCAACAAAACTTCGTCTCCGTTTTGCAAGCAGGGCAAATCACTGGATTGACAGTCTAAAAAACGGCTCGAGTTCAATGGAAATGTTAAAAGAGGAATCTTGTAGATTTTAGAAGTGATTCATTTATTTTCACCGATGTCGTCGATCCGCGACCAGTAAATTATAGAAAGCGCCTCGTTCAGATAAAAGAATATTGAAAAATATTTAAAACATGTCAGATACGCCGGCAGCGACCTGTAAACATCAACAATTTGTTACCCGTTCACTTCCTGCAAAGTTATTGATAACTTTCCTCGACCACAATCAATAACCATTAAGGATGTATTGGCTATACAGTCAATCCAAAAAAGTTTATGCACTTTAGAAACGCATTTTTTAAAAAGAAATCAAACGTCGGAAGAACATTGCTAATAATAAACA